ATTAAGGCGTGCCTCCAAATATTCTTAAATTGATCATCTCAACATCAAAATACATGGACATGAGAAAAAAATGGATTTCTAGTTTTGGAAATACTGTATTTTGTAAAGCATTTTTTGATCGTCAATTTTCAAGATTTTCAAGTTTTCGTAGATCTGTTGATCTACACTATTTTTTAAGCTTTAAACTTTATAAATAAAGATGAAAATATGTTTTAAGGCTATCACAAATATTTCCAGTATTGAAACCACATTTCTCGACACTATTTGAAGGTAAGCACTAATTTGATTGATTAGAGCCTAGGCTCTATATAAACCGCATCCTTAATTAATTATGATCTCAATTGGAATAAACTTTTTGTTTTGCTATGATGTTGGGAACCAATTCGGGGGTAGCTTTAGACTAGAGTGATTTCGAGTTAAAAAACTGTATTTTACTTAAGTTCATTTTGCACAATGCATTAATAAGTAAAATGTAGTTTTTTAACTCGAAATCATTCTAGTCTAAAGCTACCCCCGAATTGGTTCCCAACATCATAGAAAAACAAAAAGTTTATTCCAATTAAGATCATAATCCATTAATCTTGCATATTAATCAAAAAACAAAATTAAAACTCAAATAATAAGTTGTTTGCATTTTCAATTGTGGAATTTAGATAAGGACACAGTTCTTATATGTCCATGTAGAAACGAGTCGCCTCTTAAAAATCTATTTTTGAGATGGATTTTTGGACTTAATTTTTAAGGACATGTAATTTCTAGCATAGAGACATGAATAAGAATAAATAAATAAATTTTGAGAATTAAAAGTAGTAATTATATTAAAAGAACATTTGGGCCGTTAATTTCTATGGTTTTTAGGTAGACCACCTATTTGCATCCATCTTTAAAATGAATGCTTTATACCTTGGAATTGCATTTTGTAGAAATGCGGTCCAGCCCGCATGAAACAATCTTCCTTTAGATAATGACGAACACTGTGTTAAAAGTGTTTGTAGTCAACACTTTGAGACTACCCTTCAAAATCTATTAAGCCTGGCCAAACCATATCCACTTTGCTGCTCGCCCTTAAAATCCATAAAGCGACAATCCAGTACCAACTAAAAATAATTGACTTGGAGCTTTTAAAATGTTCCAACTATGATCGATTTAGCATCCATCTGAAGTGGAAATGGATGGTCTAGATTGGGTTTTGATATAATATTCAAGATAGAGCATCTGTAGGGAACAAAATCCTTTTTTTTTCAAGAAGTTCGTGAGGCATGGCCCATGCCAATGCATTTTGCTTTCTTAAATATTTGGAAAAGTATACAATAAGACCACTTACCTTTTTGTATAAGGTAGTGACAAATAGTCTTGACCGGATGTGAAACTAGGTCGTTGCATTCAATCTATTGACCAAATTCAAAATTTAAATGAAATTTTTTCGAACTTTATGACACATCCAAGCTATCAAATTTCATATTGGATGGTTATAAGTAATTGCGACCTCCTTGTACGAAATAGAAATGGTTATGCAATAGGCTAGTGTTAACAGGATTTGACCACCCACCAAACCAGTGAGGCGCTTAGTCCAATCAAAAGTGGTTTGCTACTAGTGATCTAATTAAACTGAATTTTTAAAAAGTAAAAAAAAAAAAAAAAGTTTATATAAGTGTGAGGCTCTAAACAATCAAATTAGTTCTCACCTCAAAAAAGTCATTAGAAGAGGTTTTAATGCCCAAAATTTCTCAAATTGACCATCTCAACTTCAAGATGTACAAACATGACACAAAAAATGGATTTCATGTCTTGGAAATAGTGAATCTTATAATGTATTTTTGGACCGTCAATTTTCAAGATTTCCAAGTGTTCATAGATCTGCTCGATTTACACTATTTTTAAACTTTAAATTTTATAATTATATATGAAAATAAATTTTCAGACCATCACAAAGATTTTTCAATATTGAAACTATTTGAAGGCGCACCCTACTTTGATAGTTTAGAGCCTCAGCCTTATATAAACCACACAAAAAAAAACTAAAAGAATAATAATTTAAAACATGTAGATATCTTACAAAGAATAACATACAATTTTGCCTAATTGGTCCAACCAGTCAAAATTTGTTTGTCTTATTAGTTAAAACCAGTTAAACATTAATTTTTATGAAAGCACTAGTTGGTAGTCCAATTGGTCAGATTGGGGGGTCCGGTCCAGTCATGATAACTATGCTTTTAATAGAATATTATATATGAATTTATCATTTAATAACGGAAGCAAAAAGGTATCTATTTTGGAATTGTCTATAAAGAGACCATTTATCTTTTGTACATGGAAGTCACAATCATTCCTACTAATTAGATGTCAAATAGAAGCTTGGGGAGAGTCATGAAGTCCAAGAAATTTTTTTATTTGGAACTTTGTGTCTTTTCGATGACACTCTTAACTACCCATTTTGAAATTTAATGGACAAGAATGATTGTAACCTCCATGTACAAAAGATAAATGGTCTCTTTGTAGACAATCCTATCTAATTTTAACAAAATAGAGTCATAAAAGTAAGCTTTAATAATTCATTACAAACCCTTAATTTTTATATAATGAAATTGAAAAAAAAAATATGACTTTCTTTTCATTTTAGGTGAATAATTTTATTTTTTTAAAATATTTTTGTATATCCTAAAATATGAAAAATATGAAGTTTCTTTATAATTCCATCTGTTGTGTCTATGCATCACAAGGGTAACTAAAGAGTGCTATTAGTACATGGCCTAGAACTTACAATTAAAATTAAAGTCACCCCGTTGGGGAATGCAGTTCGAGTACTACTACAAACTGCTTTGATGATTTGAAAATCTTTTCCACCCCAATTATGAAATTTGAAGCTTAAAAATTGAAGGTCCAAATATGATTTGGTGCTTTTCCAACAACAAAACTTCAGTTTTAGTTGGGGTTTTTCAGGTATAGCTTTACTTTTCATGTTAAAAGCATTTCAACATTTTTGGGTCGGATTTCAAGGTCCAGCTATAGTATTTGTGGAGGCGTGTCCTTCTATTGCTCGTGCGGGAGTATAATGTCCGTCTATTCCCTCAGGTAAAATCTAATATAGGACAGTTTTTAGGACCCCAAATTCCAGGAATGTAACTGCTTCAACATATGGGCTAAACTCAAAAAAAAAAAAAAAAAAAATCCAAATTACATCCTCAATGCATTTGGAAAAAATCCAAATTTCACCAACTATGTGCTTGAAGAAAATGATACATCGTGATTGAATGAATAGAGACAGTCTGAATTTTTGTGTGTAAGATCTAAGTGTTAGATAACTCAAAAACAATAAAGTTTTCCTTTTAAAAATAATCATCTAATTGTTCTTATGTCGTTTCAAGATTTTCCCATCGAAAAAAAGTCCTCCCGTCTTCTTCTCAAGAGAGTAAATATGTAGTGTGCGTAAGAAACTCATAAAATCTCGCTCTATTTCCTAAACAGAGAAGGAATTAATCATATGTTCCCCAAACCCAATACATAATCTTTTAAACCAAATGTTTTCTGGGTCCAAAACCAATTATGTCGTCCAATTCAAATAAAATATTATTATGGTGATCCATCCATCCTTCTCTTCTCTATTCATACGATGCTCAGCATGGAAAAACAAGTATACTCGCTCTTTGGCCTATTTTTTAGAGGGAAAAGTTTATATAGAGCAAACGTTCTAAACAATTAAATTAGAGCCCACTTCAAAAATTTCATTAGAAGAGGTTATTTTGATGCCTAAATGTCCTCAAATTGATCATGTCGACATCAAGATGCATGAACATGAGAAAAAAAATGGATTTCAAGTTTTGGTTGTAACGTATTTTTGGACCGTCAATTTTTACGCTTTTCAAATTTTCAAAGATCAACTCTATCTGTACTATTTTTGAAGCTTTAAATTTTATAAATAAAGATGAAAATATATTTGAAAGCTATCACAAAGATTTTCAGTAACGATAAGCCCCTGCTCTATACAAACCGCGCCCTACTTTAAAGGGATACAAGGACACGATTACGGCTAGTCCAAAACCAAGTGTTTTTTCAATTCAAGACTAAATATATCCACCAAATCAAATAAAAAATCCCTTAGTGGAAGTTGAGACTATGGTGATCCCATTCCTTTTTTTTTTTTTTTTTTTTTTTTTTTTTTTTCTCAACAGGATGTTCAGCATTCATTAGAAAAGGAAAATTACTAAAACAGCCTTGACTCCACTTTCTGGACATCCTCTCCAACAAATTTTTAAAACACTACAAAAAGTGGACTATTGTTTTATTTTGCACTTTCCCCCAATCACAAAAATCCATGACCGTCATACCCCTCCATGCCTTATATCCATGTTTTCACAGTGTCGGTCTGGCTGAGCAGCATTATGAAATTCCAATCCAGCATTTGTGTCTGTCCAACACATTTTTTTCGCCAAACCAACATGGATTCATTTTTAAGTCCCGCACACAAAAATTTAATAAAAAAAAAAAAAGTTATTGTAAACAAAGGTCAGTGGGGGTATTTTGGTAAAACAAAAATCTTTTAGAATTGAGGCAGTAATTGTAAAAGAAAAAATAATAGTTTTTTTTTAGTATTTTAAAAAATTGTTGGGGGGAGAATCTTAAAAAAGTTGAGTGAAGGGGGTTTTAGCAATTTATCCTTTGAAAAACAAGCATAATCGTTCTTTGACCTAGTCTTTAAATGGGTTTAAGGATAGGATTAAGGTTATTGAAAAACTTGTAGAAAGTTCCAAGTTCTTTATCCTGACATGGATCCAACAGATACAACCTACGCGTTTGAGTGGCCGCTAGCATGGGAAGCGTTTAGTAAACGCTTTTACGTTTGCAATGAACATTAAGATAACATAACCTATGCGTGAAAGAAAGCAAACAGCCTGCGACTCAATTTTCTTGAGCCCCACATCTATAAATTCTCACAAGCTTCCCTATGACAGCATTTCTGATAATTAATACTCACATGGTTGCCTAGGAACACATTTGTGATAATGGGAATTCAACAGGAAGAGATTTCTGGCCCTCCAATGCAACTGTTCTCACTTAACCATGTCTCATTTGTGTTCCAATCTGTCATGGCCTCTAGTAAGTTCTATGAAGAGCTACTCGGCTTCAACCACATCAGACGGCCGTCATCATTTAATTTTGACGGTGGATGGTAACTATCCCCTCTCTCACACACACACATGCTCACACGAGAATGACATTAGATTCTTGGCACTGTTCGTAAAATTGGGTGGGACCTGCACGGGTTACTTGGACCCACTCACTAGGCGAGCCTAGTTTTGCCCGGTTAGGGGGTCTAATCGCTAGGGGAATAGCCCCGCTACCTGACCTACTCGAGTAGGCGTCCTACTCACATCCCAGCTAGGTATCCTGTAACCTGGCCAGTTTTCGGGCTGCTTGGGCCGGTTATCTTGGTTATCTCCATTACATCCAGAGTTTGGAGGTCAAGTTTGGGATCTTAAAAAAAAAATCAAAGTAATTATAAAATACCAAAAAAAAGAAATAAAATTTGTTTGTCCATATGAATACTTATTTTTACTTTCCCTTCTTTTTGCATTATTTCTAAAATACCCCTGATCACTAATTTTTTAATTTCATTTAGATATGTTTTGTTTAATTTTATATTAAATATATTTTAAATTTTTTGAGAATTTTTATATTTTTTATTTTCTAACACTCTTTGTCCTAGCCAAGACTTACCATGTTAGGGCTGGGTTACTCGGACCTAGTTCGGGGTACTCAGCCTAGCCTAGGGGCAGGTTCCATTTCCAGTTCGTGCTTTCCTACACTGGTTTTTCATGTTCATTGGCCTTTCTTTTAGTTCTTTGACACGGTTTTCAATTGTGCTCCGAATGAACCAAACAAACCTACGCTATAAAATTTTATTTTATTTTGCAGGTTGATCAATAATAGATTTGGAATACATTTGATTCAATCCGACTCAAAGGACGACCTCCCAAGGGAGCCAAAGATAATAAATCCTAAGGACAATCGCATCTCCTTCCAGGTGAGGGTTGGTTCTTCTTCTTCATGTTCTCACAAACATATACTTTCCATGAAAATTTGGCACAACCAAGAGTAATAGTTATCAGTATCTTCTCTAACTTCCACACTTTATCTCATGAAGTGTAGTGACATAGGATCGGTCATAAGCAAACTAGAAGCAATGGGGATCAGATATGTGAAAGGCATGTTTGAGGAAGGGGGGATCAAGGTGGATCAGATCTTCTTCCATGATTCGGATGGTTACATGATCGAGATCTGCAATTGTGACATGTTCCCTGTTCTTCCTCTTTCCTCTTCTTGCTCATTCAAGCAACCAACGATTCAAGGTAAGCCCATGTTCTCCAAAACCTGCGAAATGGTTGCCAAAGCTTATGAATCAAATGCATCTAAGCCATTTAAAATCTTGTAAATTTCTTGTTTCTTTTCAAAATCTCAAACTCTTCATCTAGAGCTGATGCAATGCCTTCTTGTCTTAGAGTTGATGTCTCTTGATAAAAGACTCCTGTGAAAAAACAAACAGTTGACTTCATTAATTAATTTTTTTTTTCCATCACTCATTACTTGTAAATTGTAATAATAGTAGGGTACCATTTATTACTTATTAACTAGACAATGAAACATGATTTTCATGTAACGTTTTTTCAAAATAAACAGAAAAAAGATAAGAAATTTATGAATCTCTCATATCGGTATCGGAAAGACCGATAATAGACTGAAGTAAGAAGGTTTAAGACAGTATTTAGCAAGGAAGGAGAAATTTTATGTACTAGTAGATTTGCGTGTATAGCATGTAGAAATGCAATGAATGATGGAATAATGACAAAAAGTTCAATGAATAAAGGAGATTAATTATCAATTTAGAACTTTGCAATATTTGGCGCCAGTTAAAATATCCATTGTGCCGAAATATTAGAGTTGATGTCATTTACATGAACCACATGGGGAAAATAAATAATGTTTAAACATGATATAAATAAGGAAAATGGTTTGATAGGACTGAAGTCCAATTAAAATTAAGTAAACCCCTACCTCATAACTCATCAAAAATTACAGTTCAAGTATTGAAAAACTGTTAGATCAATCATCTCAGCATGAACATTATGGTTGTAAAAAATAATTAGGATTAAAATCTAAAAATAGTGTGTATTGTAACAAATTATCTAGTCTGCTCATTTCACCCTAAAAATAAGTATTCATAGATCCGTAAGATTGATTTTCAAATCTTATTGTCGGTGTTAGAATTGATTGTAGATCCATCATGGAGATTTCCATTACCGAAAGTGCTTTCCTAACGAGGATTTGAGGTGAGGCTTAAATTTGTTTTCATAAATCCTAGGCCTTATAGAAACCTCATCCTATAAATAATGAATACAAATAGAATAAAAATAACTTTTCGTAAATGTAAGTTATTAAGGTTCAGTATTTGAAAGTAGAAAATGTTTTAAAATTGGTACTTTGTTGTAACTAAAATATAATGCATTTTAATGCTCTAAGAAATCATTATAAGATATCTGAAAATTGGTCATAAACTATTTTTAAAGCATAAAACGTTCATGAAAAAGTACATTAATAGTTAATTTAAATTAATTTAAAACAATAAAATTAAACAGAAATAATTTTTAAAAACATTAAAAATTTGATATTACGAATATAAATAATATTCAAAACCATAAATAGATTTATATATGTGAGGGTATATATGTAGGACAAAACTCATAAAAATCAAATAGAAAGAGTGGGACTACCATGCATGAATGTAAACTAACAAAGAAAAATAAATTATTTTATAAATAAATATATAAATAATAATAAATTATCATCAAAGTTGTGGGAAAAGATTAACAAAAAAAGATCATGCTACATGCCAAAGCAATTAGCTGAGTTAACAATACCTTTTAGCACGACTTGAATATATGTATATATATATATATATATATAAAACATTTATCTAATATGCAAAAAGACTTTTATACATTGAAGTTAGGATAAGTAAAATAAAATAAAAAGAAAATGGAAAAATCTCAAATCAACAAAGATATATAGAATATCACAAAAAAGAAAAAAAATAAAACATAAAACCTACCTTCTTGCCTGGTGGATTACAAATTTAGGAAGGCATGAAAGACAAACAAAACCCATACGCATTCGAATTTAGAAGAATTCAAATAGTATACCATGAATATTAGTGAATAAACTTATATGAGATCTTGCTAGTGCTATGATAAAAAAAAAATGATCTTGTTATCAAAGGGGAAAACATAGGTAAATTACGAATAGAATATTACAGAGATTATTAACATTATTAAGCATATTTATTTCCATTATAATTAAATAATATTTATTTATAATTACAAAATTGGCTTGGAGCTACAGAATGAAACTAGATGCAGTGGGTCACACAGGCTAGCTTTTGGGCTAAGACACTGACTAAAATAGTATTGCATTGCATATTTACTAAATTATTTATATGAGTGATTATTTACATGAATTCTTATTTCATATAAAAAATCTCCATTGCCTATTGATGCGATTATTTATGTGATTGCTTATTTCATTTCTATGTCTGCATGTAATTCCACTTGTTACCTAAAATATGAAAGATAAAATATAATATAATTAATTAATTATTTCACTCTTGGAAATAGAATTTTAAAGGAGTATGAGGTAATTTTGAGTCTCTCACACAAATATATTTTAAGGTTATCACAAAGACTTCCAATATTGAAACTACATCTCTCGATACTATTTGAAGGCAGGCTCTAATTTGATTGTTTAAAGCCTAGGCTCTATACAAACCGCACTTTTATTATTATCATTATTCATTGTCATTATTATTATTATTATTATTGTTATTATTATTATATATATAGAAATCTTTTTTCTTTAAACTCCATAAAAGGATATTTCTATGGAAATCCCGAGCCCCACTATTCAGATTCTTGAATAGAACTAGAGATAGGTTGCATATTCTCTATCAGTGTGCCGCAGCTCGTCTCAGCCAAGGAACTATCCCCTTGGCCGAGGGCAAGCGAGTTGAATGACTAGCCAAGTTATGCCCGCCACAGCTAGCCTCAGCCAAGGATCTTGGCCCTTGGCCAAGGGCATACGAGTTGAGTGACTAGCCCAAGTTATGCCCGAGCCAGAAAGTCCATGGAAAAACCCTGGGAAGAAACTATGAAAGAGTGAACGATAGAGAAAATACATGATTACATAGAGGAAGAAAGGGGCACGTGAAAAGAGAGGAAAAAGAAAATGGAGCATTTGGCTTTAATAAAGGAAGATAAGGGGCAAGTGGCAAGAGAAGAAAGAAAATTTGGATCGGCTGGGTGAACCAGTGTTGTAAAATACTAGTATGGATCAGTGAATCACAGATCTGGATCAGTGAATCATCGATGTGAATAGGTGAATCAATCTAAATTTTCAATGTGAGATGGGCCTAAAAACTAGAATATAAACAAAGTAAAATTAGAAAAATAAAATAAAATTAGAAAAACAAAATAAAATATTGTAACTAAGTGATCCAACTAGTCCAAATTACCTAGTTTCCTGACAAAATCACCCGGTTCCCTAATATAACTGGGTAATTCCAAGTCTTGACCTATTCATGATCTAGATCATCATTTTAGAACATTGTTTCCAACTACTATGATGAAATCAAAACAGACATCTTAGCATGCAGTATGGATGAGTAAGCGGTGTCTCAATGCCGCTTGAACCAATTTAATAACCTAAAAAAAAACAACTATAAAAAGTTTGTGATTACTATGACTATCAGTAGTTTCTTTTAGCTCTAGCAATAACATGATCTTCGCCATGCTTATGGGGTGATTTGACTTTTGGGGTGTTTTTTATAATGATGACCATTAATCTTCAATAACCTAAAAACACCAATTTTCAAAAGCTTGTGATTATTATTTGTATTTTCTTTTAGATCCCACAACAACGTGAGCTGCACCATGCTTATGAGGTGATTTTAGACATGCACTTGGTGTGACGTTTAATATTTTCTTGTGCTTTAATACTGTGGTCATTGTTGTGTACATAACTCCCTTCTTATGTTTTAATACTGTGGTCATTGTTGTGTACATAACTCCCTTCTCTAATCTTTTATCTTAAAATTTTTATTATTAGCTTGTTGAGTTTTTACACTAAATTAAGATATTGGAGGTGATCGACAAAGAGAATTAAGTATAGAGATATTATATAGACATCTAAAGAAGGAGAGAGGATTAATTCAGACCCAAAGTTAGATTAATACTCTTTTATTATATACCAATCATTTGTCAATCTACTTTGTTTGGATGATGTGTTGTTATTATGAGAACCAGATTCAAGCTGGGGAAATGGTCGAATTTAATGTGAAAATAACAGTGTTCAACATTAAGAATAAAAATATAGTTGTTGTTTATTCAATGTGAAAATAACAATGTTGAACATTAAGAATAAAAATAGAGTTGTTGTTTTTTGGATAGTGATGGTACGAAGGATATCTTGTCGGGTGTATTGGATCAAAGTAAAGAATGGTGCTTGCAATGTCAAAATACCTCAATAATATACCCATTTTTGAAAAAATATGGCTCTATATATTCAATTAAAATAAATAAATAATGGAAAATATAGGAAAATATGGATAATTTGAAAAAATATGGCTCTATATATTCAATTAAAATAAATAAATAATGAAAAATATAAGAAAACATGGATAATAGAAAAAACAAGAGAAAATATGGAGAATCACTTATACTTATAACTTGCCCATTCCAAACATTCCAAATAATAAGAAGAAGTGTTGTCGGATAATCTCTTTATATATCCATTCCAAGTGTTATCAGATAATCTCTTTATTTACCCATTCCAATAATAAAGAGTGTTGTGGCTGATTTTATAAGGATGCATACCCATTCCAAATAATAAGGAGTGTTGTTGGATAATCTCTTTATACTTATAAGTTAGCCATTCCAAATAATAAGAAGTGTTGTGGCTGATTAATAAAGAGTATTGTTGGATAATCTCTTTATACTTATAAGTTACCCATTCTAAATAATAGGGAGTGTTGTGGCTGATTTTATAAGGATGCATAATCTAGGGGTGATAAGGCCTTGCTCGATGAGTTCTTGCCCAATTATTGTAGGTTGTATTTCATCAGTTCATTTGAATCACATTCATTTCATTGATACTGTAATTTTGAGGAGCTCAAGAATTATTATTGTTGTATTTCAGGGATTACATTAATCTTACATCATAGAAGAATGAAAAATAAATAAATAACACCAAAATCATGTTTCTTCCTCTAAATCACTCTCTCTATTCCTCCTTCCATCCCACCCTTCCATCCTTTTCATAAAATATCAAGCAATAAAGTGATAACCCTATATCGGCAATAAATTAACACGTCATACTTCTAAGCAC